ATGGGAACCTCCTCTCCTCTCATAGGGAGTCAGTAAGGTTTTGGTTCATTTGTATAATGCTGATTTTAATAATTATTTTTGGAAAGTCAGAATCTGTTCTCATAGTTTGTATATTTTTCCCCTCATCGTTATGTTACTATATCATCTAAAACAGTTAATACTGTCACAGAATTTCCTAATGACACAGTTTGTGTCCTGCAGGCATAGACTGCGGGCTTTGTCTTAGAGGAGTTAATAACAGAAATATAAATACATGGCTCATGGAAACATGTAATACACACTGTTATGAGCGTATTAGTCGATTAGCTCTCATAATCTGTGTTACATAATGCTTAAAATGTTAATCTGGCTGGAATCTGTGGCTTGGTGACAGTTGGCATCTGCTGGCATGAAGGCTGTGAATAGACAAAGAATGCATGACTTCATTAAATATTATCTCCCTAGTCCAAGTCAGTATGTCTCTCACATATTTTCAAATACATTTGGACATATCTGTACTAACATTTCAACCTGTCACTACCACTGTGAGTGCTCACAAAAGATGTATTCAGTATGTGAGAAAATAAATATTCTGGGAACATTTTCCCTTTCATTTCTTGTGAATGCATATGTGAATGCATGAATATGTCTGTTTGGAAGGAATTTGTGATGTGCATGCATGCGCCTATATATATATATATACACACATATACATGCATATGTTAGTACTGTATTACTGCGAATTGTTGCTAATTGTGTGTGTGTTGCTCTCCCAGCAGGGAGAATTGTGATCTCTACCACTGCTGTCACTCTGACGGTGGGCACGAAAACTGCCATCGCTGGAGGTAGGAAGACAACTTTTGTTTAGATACACACTCGCACTCTCTGTCTGTTACATACACACTTTATTCCACTGTTCCCTCTCTTTTTCTCTGACATTTGAACTTGGTGTTTAGATGGTGATTGTTGGTCGTGTCACCTTCCAGTTACTGGTTTTGATGTGCTGGGTTGTCAGTAACACTTGCTGATTAGAGGTTACTAAAAAGAATTAGCTTGTTTACATTAATAGTGTGTTTTTCACTTAAAGTCATTCTGTTGTTGTAGTCGCTGGAAGTTGCTCTCGAAGTAATAGCAAGCTGTTTTGAGGACAAGATTTTGTGAGCTGTGTGAAATCTGTCTTAAGATGCGAATCAATTGGTAAAGTTCCACAACAGGATGAACAGTTACATACAGACACTGTGATTAGTGCCTAGCCTGACCAATACAAAATTTGTGAGGGTGATGCTGATATCGGAACTTGAGAATGAAAAAAAAAAAAATTGATAACAATCAGAATCTGATAATCAGTGTTTGATGCATGCATAAATGTGTATGTCCAGTAACTTTTTACATATTTGCAAGCATACAGTAAATGAAAATACCAATATGTCTGTGATAACCTGAAAACAGCCAATAATATCAACCTGCTGCTGTATCAGTAAAGCTCTAATTGTGATCATGAAGCTGAGATGCCTGGAGGGGTGTGCACCATTACTGTGTCAGTAGCTCTCAATCTCTGATTTCACTTAGGCTCCTGATGATTATGTGTGTGGTCTCTTTTTTTATGATCCTATAAGAAAATCATTTATGGTGCAGTAATTGAGTGAGTGAGCCTGTGTTTGAGTCTGTATTTGAAATTGTATTTTGAGAAACATTTTGTCTCACAGTTCATAGTCTCCGGCTTTGTTTCACTGCTTCCTGATGTGTGGGTTATTGTGTATGTGTGTGTTGTGGAAAGCCCATCTGTGGCTGACACACTCATCAGTCATACTTATCTGAGTGCGACAAGACTCTCTGGAGCTGCATCCCGAGAGCATGCGTGTGTATGTGTATTTCTGAGTGCATACCTGTATGCATTTAGTGTTTCATTACACTGAAAGACAGACTGAAAAAACAATACACAAAAAATCCATGCACACCTGCACACAAACACACGCGCTTATCTGTATTTCACAGCTTTTGTGGAAACTGTCTCAGGCGTGAAAATTCATTTTAATTCAGTTCAGTTGTATTTATATAGTGCCAAATCATAACATGCATAATCTTACAATATTAATGAGAGAAAGCCAACAGTTCCCACCATGAGCAAGAGAGGAAAAACTCGCTCCGAACAGAACCAGATTCAGGGTGGGCAGTCGTCAGCCTTGACTGGTTGAATTGAGAGGAGAGAAATTGGGGAGAAAGGAGAAAGAAGGGGATAATGATGCTTCTAGGTGTAATAGTGTTATTAATAGTGACAGCAGCAATGATAGCAGTACCAATCAATGATAATCATTATTATTATTATTATCATGATGATAGGTGTTGAGTAGTACTGGCAGATCTAGATCCTGCAGCTTCAGAGTCAGAGATACCTGCAGAATGAGGACAGGGAGTGAGGACAGAGAGGAGAAGCACAATCTACAGGAGAGAGAAGACACAAAGTTAATGACATGCAGTAGTGTGATATAAATTCATGAGGGGAGCCTGATAGCTGAAGGCTCTGCCTCCCATTCTACTCTTAGAAAGTCTAGGAACCACGAGCAAGCCTGCATTTTGAGTGTTGTATTGGGATAATAGGGCAGCATGAGCTCTTTAAGAGATGATGGAGCTTGGTCGTTATTATGTATTGCCCAAATTTTTTATTATATGATGTTATTAAATGTTCAGTTTCTTTGCCATATGTCAGAACAAGATCGAGAGTGTAATTAAAACGTCTTATTAAACCATGATATACTGTATTTGGAAATGGAAAACAGGGAGAGCGGGGAGAAGTGAGAAAAGAGTTCAAAATAGATGTGTTTCTGTCTCTCCCTTAATCTCACTGCCTCTCCTTCTTAATGTTTCTCTTTTTTTCCCCTCTCTGCTTGTTTGGGAACATTAACGTCACAGTATGTTGGATCCAGGGCTCTGCTTTGGCCTTCTACATCTATTGTCAATTTTCAGCAGTCCCAGAAATTAGAAGGTAGATCTGAAATAACCACTACATCTAAAAACAATGTTTACATGAAGGTAGGAGTACAGTATGAAGAAAAACACATTTAGGAAGATGCAAAAGATTTGTAATAGGTCATGGATGTAAAGAGGCTTTTTGGCTTTTCTGATAAAAGCCAGTGATTGTTGTGTGTGCTGATGGTAGATGTTATATGGTGATCACCAGTTAGAGGTCTGAGGTCAGACAGGTTACCAAACATTTTTTTTCACCTCTGCATCACTGGATGTCAAGTGGAACATCTTTTTTACCAGCTGCCTCACTTAAACAAAAACGCAGAGCGAAAAGGCTGTATCAATGTTTTATAGACTTGCTCTTTCTGACTTTCTTTGAAACACACACACACTCATGCACACAAACACGACACACTATGTCTCACCCTCTGACACTCTTCTTTACCTTGTTAAACCCTAACATACATCCCTCTCTTTTTTTAGCCCCTCTCTTCCGAAGCTGTCAGGCCTGTCTCCCTTCACTTCGCTATGCTTTTCTCTCTGTCTTTTTATTCCCCTCCTTACTCGCATTCCCTTGTCATATCATTCTTCTTCTTATTCCCTTGCTCTCATGCTTCCTCTACATCTGTTTCTTGCCATATCTGAGTAAGCAAGGCTTTCTTGTCAAGTCACGTTTCCTTCCAGAACATAAGTGTATTAAATATTCAAAAGCCGCCTTGTCATGGGGCACATATACATACAACCACAAAGCTGTACTGTATCCACATATGGCATCACTTGTATGAGTGTGTATCATGCCTTGATTGAACATTTACACAAGTTTGCAGCTTAAATGCTGAACAAAAATATTAATGCCTGTTCATTGTCTTGCTCAGAGACACTTCAGCGGCATAGACATTTGCAGACAAAGTCAAAGGTTGTGGTTCCTCTTACAACCACTGGGTGTCAGTGTTTGTCTGAACAGAAACTGGTCAGTTTTCCGGTTTTCTCAGTATGTTGTTGTGTTTAGCTTTTATGCTGATTTGGGGCAGATTTAATTTCTCTTCCTGTGATGAAGTCCGATTTGGTAATTCAGAGGCTGATCCAAAATCAGTCAACAGTGACGACAAAAACACTGTGTTTATGCTGATCTTAGGCTCAGCAATGGATTAGTATATCTCTGTGGCAGAAGTGACAGGCTGTATGTAAATAAACCTAATACGCTCCTACTGACAGAGTAGCAGACTGGGAGAACGAGAAGAAGAAAGAGCAATAAGTAGGTAAATAAAAGACAGAGAGAGAGTCAGTGGAAGAATAAAGGATAGAGAGAGGATTTATGACATGGAGGAGGAGGAGAGGAAGCAGGGAATAAGGATAAATAAAAGAGAGAAAAAGAAGATAGAGGAGTTGAAAAGTGAAAAAGATACACACAATAGACCAGACAGAGCAAGGGATAAAGAGGGCAGAGATGAGAGAAAAGGGGGTGAAAAGACTAAAAAAATGATGGGAGAAGAGGCGACAGAAAGATAAATGGAGACAAGATAAGTGAGAGGAGGAGGGAGGAGAGAGACGATGAGAAGCAGAGAAAGGTGAGAGGAGATTGAGGGCAAGGGACAGAGAAAATGGGATAAGGTACAGTGTACAGAGGAGATGTTATCACGACTGATTTATGCTCTCATTTGATGCTGTGAATTTATTCCACCTCAGCTGCTGTCGGTATCGCCTTTTTCACCCAAAAATTAAATTTCTACACTGCAAAAAATGTTCTTCCATTTTCTCTACTTTGGACAACAAATGCCCCAAATCACTTGAATCTATGAATTGGGGTTACTGGAAAATATAATTTGACTTCATTCTGGTGTGAGTAAATATAATAAATGGTGTTGGAAGTTATTATCCAATACTGTCTGTGTGAAATATCCAGGATCTAGTCTGTAAAGGTTTAATGTCTGTTTTGTGTGACTGATGATTTTTAAAGAGCAGGTTGTTGTTGTAGCCTTTCAAGCCTTATCATTGGTGTGGATGTAAGTTCAGAGTGATATGTTTTTATTTAAATCAATGCATATTGACCAGGAAATGCTTCATCATCATCATCATCATCATATTATCATCGTCATAATCACAATCATCATAATAACACAACACACCATAGATCTCTGGGCATTGTAGTCTTTGAGGCCCTCAGTCAACATGGCTGCTGCAGTTTTTGCGTAGCAAACTATAATTTATTATTCTTTACACACACAGGCTATAGGAACAGGATTCAGCTAGCTAAGATACTTAGCTACCAACAACACAAGACCTGCAGACCATGGGGTGAGAGGACGATGTTTCTGGATTTATAGAAAGAGTTTAGACGTTGCCTTTCTTTCAGTTACTGCCCCTGAGTCCCTGTGAGGTTGACGGCCATGTTTACATTTGTCATTTAAATCCCTTTAAAAAATGCTTTTACCATGTTTTCACACATCTCCTGAAGATGCCAATTGTTAATGTAAAAATATACCTGATTTATAGTTTCCAGCTCATCTTTTCTATCTCTTACATTAGTGAGGTGACTATTGTTGCTGAAGTGCATCTAAACTTCATTTGCAATGCAAACTTGATCAATATTGGACTGAGGGATCAAATAATCATAAACCAAACTCTAGCTTTTGTGCATCTTGACTTATCACATATCCCACTAGCCCAGTTTCCTACAAATAATTTTTATAAGCAACCTTTTTCTTAGCTTTTTCTTATTGTTTGGAGTGTAATGAGTTTAAATGTAGCAAAAAATTGAAGTGCATGCAAAAATTTAAGACAAAAAGGTGACTTGTTGCCTACATTATTCAATGCTGAGTTAAGTCAATATGATGAATTTCAGAGACGAGGCAGCAACATTGGGCCTTTTCACACTCTGGCCAAACTCTTTCTATGCTTCTTGCAGAAACTTTACCAACTATTGATCACAAATAAAATAAAACACGACAAATAATCAAACATTACAGAGATTTTAAAACCTAAAACAAAAACGAAACATAGACATTATAAACACAACAAAAGACATACATCATGAATTGATACAGAAACCCATAAACAGTTACGTCAAAAACATTTTGGGGACTGCTGGGCCAACACACCATAGTAGAGGCTAGTATAGTAATAATATTTATCTGCATCATACCCAGGTATAAGATAACACACTATTAATATAAGTTTACTTCCAGCCAATTAAAATTGAGAGGGTACAATAGTTCTACTGTAGGGGAGCAATATGCAATGAAAGCCAACTTTATGAGATTGTTTATCACTCAAGACACAAACGTCCTACTCCGCTAACGATAAAATGTTAAAGTTTACATGAATATTTCAAAGGCATAAATTAGGATTTTCAAGAAAACGCTATGCAAAGTAAACAAACTAACTTGTTGTCAATGCATCGAGAACGTGTGTCAGTCAAACAGACTCAAATAAGTGGTGATTGCTAAGTTTATAACAGAAGGACTCTTTGGCAGTGACTACATTTTCAAGTGAGAGTGACATAGCTTCCATTGCATATTGTAGATCCTTTGGGGAAAACATAAGGGGCAACAACATGGCAAAAGGCATGGATTAAGGAAAGAAAGGAGGTGGAAATCTTTAAGGAAGTGTGACAAAACTTTCCATAAATAGCACTGGATGGAAAGATGGATGGAGAGATAAAGGGACAAGAAGGAGGAGGGGGTAAAATAGCAGCGTCTTTTTGTTTAATCCCTTGTTCGTCATAATCCCTCTGGGCAGATCGTCCTTGTTAGAAAGAAAGAGAGGGAAGGGGAGAGGGAGGCCAGAGGGGAACTGATTGGGGAAATAAAGTGCAGGAGTCTGAAGTTTGTAGTCCTTAGATGGATTTTTGTAGTCCTTGCCAGGAGACAGGGTTCTCTGAGATAGTTTTTCCATGCCATAGTAGCAAACTTTCACCGCTGAGGGCGAAATCAGTCTGAGAATGAGCTCTGAACAAAGATGATGTACTTTAAAGCAAAGTCTGTGGTCCTTCATTAAAACCATTGTAGGACATCTCTGAACCAGTCCAGAAGCATAGTCCAAGTAACACCAGAAAACGTCCCCTTTTTTCATAAGATACTCATTATAATCATTTAACAAGCATCAAGTAAGCAAGAGCCTTTTTCTGAGGAAAAGGGACAAATACAGGGAAATTCCAGTTAAATTCCAGTTAAATGGTTTGCTCCCCATTTAACTGATTGATAACATCCATTATGTGGTCCAGATAGGGTAGAATCTATTTCTAGCCATCCACGAATGATCATTTTGTCAATTCAGATGGTTTCCTCTTGTACATTAAACATCCATGACAAGTCTCAAGAGACTTAGGAGACTCAATGTTTGATTTCCTATCAACATATAATCTGTGTGTATCCCCAGTGTTTTCTATGTGACAAAGCACTCAAGAGGTTTCAACTATATAAATGACATCTTTTTGTGTTTATCCACGACGTTTCCCTATTTTCCTCTGAGCTTTCCAATGTTGGCTTTTTCTTTGGGATGTAGAGGTCCGAGGGAGCAACAGAGGAGCATTAGGCCAGACGAGGGTGAAGGGTCCTGGGTTGGGGTCCTGGCTTTTTGGAGGAACTACTGGCTTTGGAGAGGTTTAGGAGGAGAAAGATGCAAACAAAACTAGCCGGGCACTGCCTAATACCACAAATTCCTGTCATTATTGTGAATACTGGTCCAATCGCCACCATACATACTGTAAATCCCTGAAAATTCAATCCAGTTTTTACAAATGCTAACTGCGCATACAACATGAGTGTCTTGTAACAGTTTAAATGATATGTGTCATACTAATTTTTTCTCTGGGCCAATAGAAATAAATTCAGCAGCAGCCAACAGCAGCAGTAGGAGGTTGGTAGGCGAGTTGGAAGGATGATTGGTAACAAATACTGCAGTGAGAATGGCTCCAAATGGAAGAGAAAATTAGGGAACAGATAAGGTATGTGTGTGAGGGAGTGTTTTCAAGAGGGACAGAGAGGGAGAAGGTTGAAAATAGAAAGAGGACGAAGAAAGGAAGACAGAAAGTGAGAGAAAGGTGTCAGTTTGAGAGTCAGAGGGAGAGATACCATAACTGTCTGTGTGCATAAAACAAACTCTTCCATCTCTCTCCTCTTTGAGCCCTTTAAAATTTTTGCCCTTCCAACCTTCACCCTTTGACATGCCAACCCTCCCCCCGTCCCATCACTCCTCTAGGCTACAGAGGAGATCTGTTTCTCCTCCCTATCCTCCCCGTCCGCCTCTCCGTCTCCCATCAGTGGCTGCCTCTTCTTCAGCTCTCTCTGGTATTTGGCCATCAGGGAGGCATAGATGCAGCCATACGCTGCGGCTGCAACCATCATGATGCAAACGATGCCGCAAACCACACCGGCAATCACCACCGTGCCGATGGCGCGGCGCACACTCACAGGTCGGTAACGGGCGCGTACACAATCCGACGAGGCCTCCCCACCTCCACCTCCTCCTCCTCCTCCTCCTCCTCCTCCTCCTCCTCCTCCTCCTCCTCCTCCTCCTCCTCCTCCTCCTCCTCCTCCTCCTCCTCCTCCTCCTCCTCCTCCTCCTCCTCCTCCTCCTCCTCCTCCTCCACCTCCTGTGTTTGAAGAGGAGTCATCACCAGTGTTGCCGCTGTTGTCAGAAATTGGTGTTGCTCCACTGGGGTTAAGAGCGTTCCTGCTGCAAGGAGGAACACCTTTTTGTCCGGAACGGGAACCTTCACCTCCTCCGTTCTCATCTTCAAGTTGGAGGCAGTAGTTGAACATTTCCACTGGAACACCACGGATGTCTCGCCCACGCAGATCCTTCGGTAGCGTGCACTCCACTGCGTCCACTTTCCCCCCTGGAGGAGAGAGAAAGAGGTGCAGAGACAGGAGGACATGGAGAGGTCATTTATAAAATGCCTTATGCCTGTAAAGCACTCCCAATTAACTGAGTAAGAGGAAAAGATAGAGAGGGGGGGTGGATGTGCCAACACTAGGATGAGTCATGAATCACTTAACACACACACACAGTTTGCTGTGCCCTCTACACTAAGTTGGAGATAGCCTCAACTAAGCTCTTCTATAATTCATGAGATGACATGCCAAGCTCCGGCAGAGCTCTAGTGTGTATTTGGAAGAGAGAAATATCTGAGTCACTAATTCCAAAAAGCGGCAGGAGGGTGGGGGATCTACTTTGTTATCATCACATGCTGCATTTCTCTCCACACATAGTATTCGTCTTGAGGTCACGTGTTAGAAAACCACTGGTTTGCACAAGCAGATATGTTTAGCATCAGAAACAATGAGATAAAGGCGGAGGATAACAGAAAGACAAAATGAGGAAAGTGGTATTTAGCCCCAGATGCTTTTATCTCAGCGTGTGTCAAAAGAATCCCCTTTGCAAATACAGCTCTCCCTCTCCAAATATCTCCAAATATCCCAGCTGTGTGTGCTTGAAGTGGTTCGAAGCAGATAGAAGTCAGCACCGGCTGCTGTCACTAAGCTTTTTACACTTGCTCGGTGCTTTGTCTTACTTTCTATAACACATATCTTGCGTCATCTACCTTTTTAACAGATAGTGTCATGCTCTCATGTTCAACTACGAAACGTCTCCTTGTAATTTTCTCTGCTGCTCTGATGATTATTAAATTATCATGTCCGCTGTGTGTCAGTCTCAGTCTGAAGTGTACTGAACTGAGCTGGAGAGTGGAGCCCAGCAAAGCAGAAGAGAGCAGAAAGAAGCAGAAAGGAGAATGGAGCAGAAAAGAGAAGAGATGCTTCATTAGCGGGGCAGCTGAGGCTTGAGGCGCTGAGGTGAATGTAGATTTTTACACATGAAGAGAGAGCGGAGAGCAGCTGTGGTTATCTGATGTACTAACAGCCTGCAGAGACACATGGGTAACACACACAGTACACAGAAACACACAATGAGCGTGGTAATGTGCATTCACACACCAGTGCAATTATATTATGTGGCTAGAAGCACAGAGATGCACAAATGAAGCACACACCTAACCTCAGCTATCTCTGAAGTAAACTAGCATTCTCAAGTTTCCGCCCACTGCTTCGTGACTTCTTTGCCCTTTTGTCCTATCCGCTAATTCAAATCAAACACACCATTTCAAAGCTCCTGTAACATAAATCAAACAACCACCTCTGTACAGCAGCCACTCCATCCAGTGTTTAAAATCGCGGAGGTTGCAGTCACATTCCCAGGGGTTGTGTCCCAATTCCAGGTGTTGTAGGTTGGCAAGGGGCTCAAACGCTGCCCTCTCCAAACCATGGAGCCTGTTACCCGCTAGAGACAGCCACCTATTGAATAATTACAATAAAATTAATTTATTCTCTTGACTCCCAACAACAGAGAAACATTTACTCTCATGACATTGGTTTAAAAATCAGCTGGTAACAACAGCAGAAAATTATTCTTTTTAACATCGTCACATCATCATGTTGCTGTTAAATTACAGTCATTTTCTTCTGATCTTATTTCTTTCCTCGTATTGTGTAGTTTATTTCCAGTCAGTTCTTTCTTACATCATTTTTCTGTGCTAACTGGAGTATTGACTCTCACCTACAACCTTTGACTTTCTCATTGTAGGATTATTATAATGTTTATAATCTGTGATTGTCATTGTATTCTAGTGTTGCTCTGTGAAGGAACATTGATTAGAAAAAAAAACATGTTGGTGTAAAAGAGTTTGTGTGGAAGTGTGTGTACCTGAGGCTCTGCAGCTCGTCCAGTAGCCCCAGAGGAACAGAGGACAGTCCGTTCAGGGACAGATCCAGACTCTGAAGACCCCCCAAACCCTGTAGAAACATGAAGACCCTTTTTTTTTTGTTTGGTCTTCTTTTCCCATACAGTTCAGTCTCTTTCCCAAATATTATTATTAGTATTATTAGTATTATTACCTTCTCTCTTTAATTCCAAGAGGCACAGCTACCATTACTTGTCAGGCTAATCTTATTTAATAAAGTGTCCCAAGTGAAGTCCTGACACAAGCTCATCCTACAGACTGCTTTGGTTCAGATAAAAGTGGATGAAAGTGTTGAGCAAATGGTTTATTACTAATTTATCACCTGGACGAGAGCCTAGTCATGTCAGCATGTCTGCTCAGGTTGGCTCTGCTCCTAAACAGAGTCTGTCGAGTCCCACCCAGGAGATGAAACAGTGTATCAGCACTATTCACATAGTAATTCGGTGGATTGACTAATTTGATGAAATATCTCCCAAAACCCTAATACAATATGAGAGGAACTCACTCTCATGAATTACAGTACAAAATTTTGCCTACATCCTCTCTGCATCTTAGCTGAAATAAGGCTCTTTAGCCTTGTTAGTGAGCCGTACTATAGATTGTACCATGGACAGTGCTTACCTGGAAGAGGTCTCTGTCCATTACTGTTAGTGAGTTGTTGTGCAGAGTCAGCCTCGTCAGGTTGGTCATGTCTCTGAATAATCCAGCTGGTAAATTATCTAGGTAGTTATTAGAGAGGTCCAGCTCCTAAAAAATACACACAAAAAATTACATGTTCACTTAAATACACAAATAGACACTTAGCTGATGTTCTTATTGATAACTTAAAAACGAATTTAAGAGTGAAAAGTGAAATTAAAAAATTCAGAAACCTGTTCCAAGAGGGAAAAAATAGATCAACTGCAACAAAAGTTTAACGCACATTCTATACCTTAAGATGACATTCCTGTTCAGAGAAACCAGTACAATGGGTGTAAAGTGTAAGATGAAACAAGCCGTCATAATGGAGGACTACAAACTCAGACTACACAGTTTTTACAGCTTTACTGTAGATAAATGTTCAGTATCTGATGTGCCAATAACAAACTGTAGTAGCAGAGGAACTAATGTGGTTGTATTTACCTGGCCTTTTTTGGCAGGTGCAGTAACCATCCATCATTTCCAGCTGTTCTATTTCAAATACCAAGTTGGCTGGCTTTGCACACACTATGCTATTAGTGAGCAGTCCTGCGAAACCTTGAAAATGTCAATTTTCCTTAACTTTTCAGACTGAGAGCAGAGGTTGTCTGCAATTTCTTCAATATGACACTCACCACACTTTTAAATTCAGTGTGCGAGGTCAGTGCAGAAAACAGTAGACATTGCCACGGTAAACAACAACGTAACAACAACCCACGACACGTTCAGCTGTGAGGCGAAGAAACACTTCACTGACAACAATAAACAAAGGACTGCAGACCTCCAGAGAGGAGAGGTTAGCGAAGGCAGAGGCTCCCAGCGAGGCAAGCTTGTTGTTGGCTAGCAGGAAGGAGCGGCTCCCCGGAGGCATGAGGTGCAGGGGAGGCAGGGAAGAGAGACCCCGGCCCCCGCAGTCCACCACCAGGCCATCTGAGGAGCAGAGACAGGGAGGAGGGCAGGAGGAGGCTGGCGGCAGCAGCGCCGCCAGGAGGCAGAGGACACAGAGGAAGACTGAAGGAGGGGACAGGTCAGGAGAGAAGAAAAGAGAGAGAAAAACATGGTTATTTAGTTCTTCCTGTGGATTCTCATTTCAGTGATAAGTAGAGCAGACAAGTAAATGAAATGATGCCAAAAAAGGGATGTCAAAAATGATGGAGTAGTTCTAAGTGGAAGTTGTAATTAGAAATTAAGCTGAAGAATCATTTTTATCATTGAGACTGTCAACCAAACTGTCCACAAAATAGTCAATCATTCAGCCAATTTATTGCTGTGCATTTTGTTTGATCTACTGTATGTTACAAGTACAAGTAGAAACCACAGCTATCCTACTGTCAGTGAGCCTTGTGAAGGTGTCCTGATTCATGTGGAGAGTGGGAAAAGATTCAAAAGGGAGGAGAAAAAGAAAGCAAAACAAGAAAGAAAGACCTTGAGAGGGAGGAAACAGCAGCTCAGTCCCAATAAAATACCTTCCCATGCCAGAGGTGGTTTTGTTATGCTATTTAAATGCTGGAATTACACAGGAAATTTCCATTTCCACCATTTTGTGCCACAAAACAGATGTTTTCATGGATGTTTAAACATCAAGAAACTGCACAGAAGATCTGATTCTTCACTATTTGTCTGATTAAAACGATCAGTTTTGTCTTTGCTTACACAGATTTCAGATTTCTGAACAATCTTGTAAACGGAAGCCACATTCTGCATGAAAGACTGCAGCAGAACCAAAACATGGCCAGACTTGTCACATAAATTGTTTGTGTGTGAAGCCTACTCTATTATGGCAGCTGTCTATTCTGCAGTCACAAAGCCATCGCTTTTCATGAAAAAGCTGCACTTGTGAGTTTTCTTTTGTGTTAATGAGCAAATGAGTCTGTCTGTGGCTTTCTGTGTGTATGTTTGTGTGCATCTCATAGCAGTCTCTCTCTCTTTAGTGACACTCATGAGGGAAATGCCCTCTGTTTTATTTCATTTTCAGTTCATTGTTATCCTGCAGACTACAGTCATTTCATCATTTCCACTCATTATCTCTGTGTCTTTCTCTGGTTCCAGCCTCCCTCCTTCATTCTGTTTTGTCGCTGTCTGCATTTCCCTCGGTTTCCAGATAACATTATTTTCTTTCATTTCTCATTTTCTTTCTTTATTTGCATCCATCAGTTCAGGTCTTTTCATTCATTTTCGTTCATTTTTATTTGTTTCTCTGTCTGTCTTTCTTTGCATCTGTCTATCCCTCTCTCCATTCTGTAAGTCTCTCTCTTTCCCACTTGAGTGTCTTTATCTTTCTCATTCTCTTTCACTCCGAGTCTCTCGGCACCGCTCTGTATTCCCTCAGTGTCTCGTTACAGTGGCTGACTTTGTTTCCATCCAATGGCTTATCAGCACGACTTATGTTTTATCTCTCTGTGTATGTGTGAATATGCGTGTGTGTGGGCATATGCTTGTGCGCCTGTGAGCGTGTGTGTGTGTGTTAAGCACCAACAAAGCGTGATATTAAGAAAACTAACTTCGTCTAAACTCCAGACACAGACACAGCACTTTTTACTTCCAGACTCTTTGCTTCACCAGCAGATTTCATCGCTTGCATCATCTGCATACTATTAGCATATATTTCTCAGTGTCTCATCACTGATAAAATATGCTTTAGATAATATTTTATTCCCTCTAAAGTGGTTATAAATAGTGAGAATAGAATCTAGGAAATAATTTCATCACAGAATAGACAGCACACTTTAGTCTAATTAATGATAAATGATGAGTAATGCATTCAGAATGGAAAGAAGGGCAGAGCCATTTTAGAAGATTGTCTAGTTGCGACTTTTTGGACCAAATTGTGATTGCATTTTAACTTGTTATAAAGGCAGAGGTGTTGCTAATAACACGTCAACAGCAATGGCTCTGTTCAAATGTCCCAGTAACCCTGAAACCAAAGCAGATAAATGGAATTCAGCCATGAATTTACAGCTGTACTTTTCATGCTGTAACAAGTCAAAAAGTCTTCCATTAATAATACTGAATTAAAATCAGCAGTTTCAGAATTGCAGGAGCTATGATTCGTTTCAAAGCAAGATTTTGATTAAAAAACAGCTAATTGTTCAGGCCCATTAGAAGGCTCGCAGTAGTTTAATTTAATCTTAATTTAAAGGGTTATTTTGTATGCATCTCAGCCCCCCAGAGTAATTCATATTTTTAAGAGCAAATGAGCCAGTGCAAAAATGTGAACAAACAAATACAAATTTGATATTCATCTCGCTTTTCGTTGTTACTTCGAATTTGTACGTTTCCATGGGCATTGGAAATTTTTATTACATAATGCTTTGTGAAAACCTCTGGAAACACCATTGTATCGTTCTGAGAACACACACAACAGTCTACAAATAGCATCTTTTCCCAGACTGTTTTAACCTGCCAGATAGAACATGACCTCCCCCATCCAGGACACTGCCCCATTTCACAGTATGAACCAAAAATGTTCAGAAAATAACGACTGTGGCCTGGTGAGAAAAATCAGTGTGTGTGCGTGAAGTGAGCTCTCATGTTCCTGCATCCGTTATCCTCTCTGCTCCTGTATAATCCTAATCTCTGGGAAAAATTAACTCCACTTCATAAATGGATGAAAGGAGAGATTTGAAAGTATCCGGAAGCGTCCTGTGCTGTCTTACTTTTTTAGTGGAAATGCTTTAGAAGGCCAATCCTTCACTGCAGCAGCTCAGTAGGAGTCTAGAAGGATTTCACTGCACAGTGGCTGTAATTTTCCCATAACAGGTTTGAAAAAGGTGCAGAAGTGCAGGATGTTTGTGAGGACAATATAGCTCAGAGGTAGAAGCACTGTTATACAACTGAGAGAGAGAGAGAAAGAGAGAGAGACATTGTGTTTATTTTGCTGCTTCTTCCTCCTATTATATCATATTTTAAATTGCAGTCATCTTTGCGCACCATTCATCTTTCCCAGTCTGCGATATGGGCTTTATTGTGCAAAGTTATTCTTCTTCTCCCCTTAGTCTTCCTTTCCTCTTCCCTTATTGCGACCCCTGTCCTCTCCTCTCCTCCCCCTCCACTACTGTACACTATAACTCCCGCTCACCCCATCCCTCCCTCAGTGCTGAAGCCTATCTTCCAACATTTATGAGTGGTTTTAACGGCTCTCGTGGAGGAGGTGGTTGTTGTTTCGGCTTATTTTAGCTGCTCCAAATCCTCTCTGCTGTAGTGCTCCACGCAGCCAAACCAGAAGGAAATTATTCGGCCACAGACAGAGGAAGATAGGGAGGTTCAGTCCAAATAAGTTTAAGTGGTTCTTTGCAGTTTAATTCAGTCCAAACAGACTTCCGACTAAATCTTTTATAAGAATCCCCAAACACATGCCGTAAAAGTGCTGACATTTTGGGTAAATGTACGCTGGCAAAGCTCTCAGCGATGGGAAACAAACTAAGACACAGCATTAAAATGCAACAAGATGTTCCTGTTCAACTGAAGCAAGATACTGAGGCAGCTCTTATAGCAGTACTGCAGAGATAGATAGATAGATTGATTGATGAGCAGTATGTCATTTTATGAGGAAATCTATTCTGTGTAGTCATCAGAAGAGACAGTTGTAAAAGATTTACAGTCAGATTGAGCAATTATTAATGATCACTTGTCGTACAATAAAACTGTAGGAAATTTTAAATAGACTATTAGAATTCTTCCTGTTGTCTTTTAAATTATCATTTGATTTGAATTTAAAGGATAATGCAGTCTCTTTGTATTGCTATAGAAGAAAATCAACAGTGAAGGATTTCTCTTGATAATTAAATTAATAATTTTCAAACCTCTTTTGTTACTTTCAACATCCCGGCTTACTTTTAGTTAATGTGGATCCTGGCACACTGCTTACAGTCCAAGTGTGTGTCTGTGTGTGTATCAGTGTGGATGTGGGTGTTTGAAGCTCTGAAAAGCTGGAAATGAAACATTCGTCCTAAGTAGTCTTTGAAGTAGGACAATTAACTGTCAGGTTATATTTGCATCTTTGTGTGTGTGTGTGTGTGTGTGTGTGTGTGTGTGTGTGAGTGTGTGTGTGTGTGTGTGTGTGTGTGTGTGTGTGTGTGTGTGTGTGTGTGTGTGTGTGTGTGTGTGTGTGTGTGCTGAGTCACGATGGCTGTCTTGCAATAATCTCCTGCCTATTCAGTTTCTCCATTTGTTCAAAGTTTTATTGTAGGGTTATACACTCACACACATACATCTTTTTGAAAAACAAAACACAAAACAAAACAATTAATTAATTTTTACTGATGGTCAACCTTCATGGGCACAAAACCTAAACTACAAAAAACTAATTTCTGGTATCATATGATGTTTGACAATGTCTCCTAGACGACGCCGCATGACAACTCTGGGGCCTCAGCTGTCTGTAAGTTTATATCCAGGGGCCCCTTACTGACACTGGACCCAGCTATGATGTCATCACCATAGACACTTCTGTTACTGAGCCCAGTCGCATGTTACCAGGGGCCAAGCTGTTTTCCATGCAAGCAGCAGACTTGGTGCTATCTTGTTACTAGAACGACCAGCTGTCGTCCACACAACACACTCACTCACTCGCCTGTATTTCTTAACTCTTTAATGTTTTACATGGTGCTCTGTGCTGTGCAAGAGTCTGACGCAAATCTATCCTGCTGCTGAGATGGCACAGAGTTTAGAGCTGACTCCTGTTTGACTCTCGATACCTGTGACAACATTGTTGTGTACCATCATAGATAACAACCCCTAAATGTCCTTAGCTGTAAAATCTGCTGTCTAGCACAAAAAAATACATATTCAGCAGTTGTGCTTAAACAATTTGCTGGTTGCAGCTTTTTTATTTAAAAAAATGTTAAGACATTCTTCTTTTCTCTGTTTTATTTCATTGTTAATTCAATATCATTAGGTATTTTGGATTATCGCTTCAGGTAAAACAAGCAATTTGAAGATGTCACCTTGGGCTTTTCACCATTCTTTTTCTGGACTTAACGATTAATTAATTAGATTAATTCATCATGAAT